CACTTTCTTGTATTCTTGTCGTGCAGATTTGTTGATTCCAAAAACTAAACTTCTATTATTCTATTCTATCACAGATAGTGAGGACACATGCGATTGGATAGGGCGCACGGCCACCGGTACCACCAGCTAGGGCTGCGAGAGGCCGGGGCCGCGGTAAAGGCCGACGTGCAGCCCGTAAAACAGCTAGAGCAGCACTTGTGGAGCCATCAATTACCCCAGCTCAGGAGCAGATACCAGATGTAGTTGAGCAGGTGGGACCAGCTCAGGCACCAGCTGTGCCCATTGTGATTACAGGCCTTTAGGAGTCTTTGGCCCAGATATTAACTGTATCCTCTAGCCTTGCTCAGGGGATTTTAGTTCATGCTGTACCAGCCACTTCTCAGGCCGAGGGAGGTGCTCAGACTCTTGTCGCCCATACTCCAGAGCAGGTGGTTCATGGGCTCCAGACACCGAGGGTACTACTAGCCCAGCCGATTGTAGTTTCTCAGGCCCAGGTGGGTCTACCTATGAGTGACGAGGAGCAGAAGAGGCTAGAGCAGTTTGGGAAGCTCGGGCCTCCAGCTCTCAGCGGGGCTGAGTCAGAGGATGCTCAGGATTTCTTAGACAGATGCCATCGGATCCTTCGCATGGAGGGCATTCTGGAGACTAGTGGAGTCTCATTTATTATATTTTAGCTTTCGAGGACAGCTTTCAGATAGTGGGAGGCCCATGAGTTTAGCAGGCTAACCGGTGCTTCACCACTTACGTGGCATGAGTTCTCAGTTCTCATCTTAGAGAAGTTTGTTCCACAGACCCGTAGGGAGGAGTTGCGTAGGCAGTTTGAGCAGCTACGCTAGGGGGGTATGTCAGTGATTCAGTGTGAGATGAGATTTTCAAAGTTGTTTCGTCACGCGATATGGTTATTTCCGACAGAGAGGGAGAGGATCAGGAGGTTCATTGATGGCCTCAACTATAGACTACGTTTCATCATGACTCGGGAGATTGCATCAGGTGCTAGGTTCGATGAGGTTGTTGATATTGTTAGGCGTCTAGACTAGGTTCGCAGTCAAGAGCGCAAGGAGAGGGAGGCCAATAGGCCTCTTAATTCAGGTGGTTTTAGCGGTGTTTCTTCTGGAGGACAGTCCCATCACTACAGGGGTTTTCCTTATAGGCCTGCTCAGATGGCTCGTCCGGTACATCGTAGTGCATCAGTTAGCCATGGTTCCTACAGCTTGCTCATGACTCGTAGAACCTATGAACTTAGAGTTCTGATACCAACTTGTCTGTCATGACCCAAAATCCTGCCATAGGCATCGTGATGGAACCTAATCTCTAAGACTAGGTAAACCGAGTACTTACAACAATTAAGCCAGTTTAACAATGCTAATTTTAAAAAGATTTTAATATGAATATCGAAACAAAAGCGAAATAAACCTATGCAGCAATAATCATAACACCCTCCCAAGACTGGGTAATACAGAGTCATGAACCCTAGTTAAATACATGGAAAGATATCAAAGCTAGAAATACAATACTGTTCAAATAACAAGCTGACAGTACAATGAAAGGAAAGGACTCCAAGGGACTGCAATGACTAAGTAGATCTACCTTGAATCCTCGCGATCAATAAGCTAACTCTGCCCAAATCCGATATCTCCAATACCTGGATCTGCAGAAAAATGTGCAAAAGTGTAGTATGAGTACACCACGGTCGGCACCCAATAAGTATCAAGACTAACCTCGGTGAAGTAGTGATAAGGTACAAATCAAGACACCTACTGGTCAAAATAACTTGTGTAGTATAAAAGTATAAAGCTAAAAATGAAAGCAGGAATCGGTAAATAGCAACAAGATTCAACATATGATTTAAACATTAAAGTAACAAGAACACCGTTAAGGTACCGGCGAGAACATATAAGGGAAACAAATGTCAACCAACAAGCAAGCCGTTCCAACATAGGTCTCACAATGAATTACTCCGAGATACCTCATCTCATAATCACAAGTCCCGAGTCTCAACCCCAAATCATATGCTCACGGCATGTTGTGCCCACATTTCTAATCACTACCGCACTTACAACTCAGGTGCCAATATCTCAATCCGCCCGGCATGATCACAGGCTCACAATCACATTCCACTCGGCCTGGTCACAGGCTCACTATCACAATCCGCCCAGCATGGTCACATGCTCAATATCACAATCCGCCCATAATGGTCACAGGCTCAGTATCACAATGAAAGGAGATAATACAAGAACACATGGGCAAGATTAATAAATGTCAAGTTTCATACTCCTGAACTAGTATAAGTGGCATGCTACGGTGTATCCTTGTGCGAGTGTACTATTACAACCCAAGTCAACAAGTAATATCAAAGACATCGAGTAGCTCATCGAAGCAACACAACAAGTCACGTAAGGTGTATAACATATACAAGGAAAAACACACCATCACACGAATATCACCAACAAAATGCCCTCTGGCCATCACCCATCATCCCTGACATTGCCACCCTTATCTCTTCAATAGCTACCTGTATCACTCTGCCCTGACAATATCATTAGCCATTCGTTAGCCACCCCTATCAATTCGCGTAATAGCCACCCTTATCGCTCCGCCCGGACAATAACACAATAGCCACTCGTATCACTCCGCATAATCAACAACAGTGAGATGCCACCCTTATGCCCCGCATAACAACAACAGTGAGATGCCACCCTTATGCTCTGCATAACAACAACCAATCCACACAACAATTCACATGTGCTAACATCACAATAACACGACGGATCAACTCGTACCACAAGTGCCCATAGGCTACAACATTTCCAAATGAACCAGCAATTTCAATACTTCCACAACAAATAGCCAACAACTCAAACACAATGTGTATAGAATCTCAACAACAACAAAATGAACGGGAAAGTAACTCAACTATGAACAGCACCCCCTTTAAACACAACTTTAATTAAAATAGATTAATGACTTCCAATAACTTCAACTTCAATTAATTGCATAAGGATAAACTCAATAATGAAGGTATTTCCATGAAATGGTAAAGTTCGAATTCTAGTGTATGAAATAGGCTAACAATGAAAGAGATGGCACGAACTAGCAACTACGTCTAAATGCATGAGAGTAACCCGAAAACAAAAGAATATCATGTAACAACAATTTCAATTAAGAATAACTCAACAATAAAAGAAGTCGCATAATGGTAAAAGAGGTAACAACTTAAAATAAAGCATATAAGAGTAAACTTGGCGAATAAAAAGATGTGACATGTAATGACAACTTCAAATAAAGCATGTAGTAAACATGACAAATAAAAGATATAACATGTGCTAACAATTCCAAATAAATACATGAAAGAAGCCTAAGAGTCTAAACTGGTCAATTTCAACATATAAGCCCGAGTACGTACTTGTCACCTCGCGTACATGGCTTTCACATAACACAAATAGCACAAACAACTCAAATCCTAAGGGGTACTTCCCTCACACAAAGTTAGGCAAGATACTTACCTCAAAGAAGCCAAATGAATACTCTAAAATGACCTTCTCGTGTGAAACAAACCTCCGGACGGCTAATAAAGACATAGGAAACAATTCTGGATTCGATCTATAATGAAAACTAAAAAGACAACCCCGTACCCGCACCTTGGAACCCGACAAAATTCACAAAATCTGAACACCCATTCTGATACGAGTCCAACCATACCAAAATTATCAAATTCTACCACCAAATCGGCCTTCAAATCCTCATTTTACATTTTAGAAAGCTTTTACAAAAAACCCCCCAATTTCTCCAATTCAAATCACTAATTTAATGATAAAAACAAACATGGAATCATGAAATATAATCAAATCCGGGTCAAGAACTCTTACCCCAATCCAACACGTGAAAATCCCCTCCAATACATCTACGTACTCGCGAACGCAAAGGGAAATTGCCTGATGCCCCTTCCCGCCTTACCTTCAGCGCGATCGCATAGGACATCATGTGAATGGGCAGACAAAAGTCTTCCAAGCTATGCGAATGCAGTCACATTCTCGCGAATGTGAAGTACAAATATTGTCTGCCTCCAATTTACCTTTGCGAATGGGACATTACACTTGCGATAATGAATAAGGAGGCACCAGATATCAGATCAACAATCCAAAACAGGAGAAAATGGCCCGTAGCCCATCCAAAACACACTCAGGGCACGCGGGACCCCGTCCGAACATACCAACAAGTTCCATATCATAACGCGGACCTTCTCAAGGCCTCAAATCACATCAAACAATATCAAAGCTATGAATCTCACCTCAAGTCGTACTTAATGAACTTATGAACTTTGAAGTTCAATAACTCGCGCTGAATCATATCAAATCAACTCGGAATGACGTCAAATTTTGCATGCAAGTACCAAATGACACAACGAGGCTATACCAACTCCCCATAAAATTCGAACTCGATATCAACAAAGTCAACTCCCGGTCAAATCTCTCAACCTTTCAAACCTTCAACTTTCCAACTTACGCTAAAATGCATCAAATCAACTTATGGACCTCCAAATCCAAATCCGGACATACGCCTAAGTCCAAAATTACCATACGAAGCTATTGGAATCATCAAAGAACCATTCTGGAGTCGTCTACCTAAAAGTCAAACTCCGGTCAACTCTTGCCATTTAAGCTTCTAAAACAGGAATCCTTCTTCCAAATCTATCACGACCCAAAACTCGATATGTCATGATGGCGCCTACCACAGAACTTGGTAAGCCGACAATCACAAATAACTACGCATTTTGAATTGAAAACATGATGAAATAAATTTAACAATAAAAAATTCTCTTAAATAACTGATAATAAATATCGCAACTCAATACAAAAATACCCAAAATTGGAGTGTCACTTAGTACATGAGCTACTAAAATGACAACATAGTCAAACTGCTAATACAACTGTCTAGAAAGATAGAACAGTGCTAAATAAATAGAAAGGAATGAGAGTCGAGGTCTGCGGACGCCAAAGCAGCTACCTCAAAAGTCTCCAAGCAGATGAAGCTCCAAATCTAGGAACCACCGTGCCCAGAAGTACTTGGATCTGCACATGAAGTGCATAGTGTAGTATGAGTACAACCGACCCAACTCAATAAGTAACAAAACTAACCTTGGGCTGAAAGCAGTGACGAGCTCAGATAGGTAAAGTCCAATTCTAGATTATAACATTACAAATATGACAGGAAAGATGACAGTAATAACTCAGAGAAATCTCATTATCAGTGTGTACACAGTACATAAATGTAGACATGCGTTTCAATTTTAACAGTTTAAGTTCAACACGGATAAAATGGGCCAAGTGCGACTGATATGAGAAATGTTACATCTCTATATCTACATATCAAATTTGCATGTCACATGTAATGCATTACAATGATAACCTCACGAACCCAAACTCTCAGAGTACTCAATCAATCTGTCACAACTCTCACTCATCACACTTAATCACTAAGCACTGTACGTTACCTGCGTTGCTGGTATGTCAGACTCCGGAGGGGTAGATCCTGCCCAAGAGCTAATAAAAGATGTTGCAGCGTGCAGCTCGATCCCATCATGAATCAATAATACCTGCTGCGGCATGCAGCCCGGTCCTATCATGAATCAATAAAACTTGTTGCGGCGCGCAACCCAATCATATCAGTATCACTCATACTCTGGTCCTCAAGCCCTACTCAGTCATAAATCTCTCCAGTTTTTCGGGCTCACAAATCTCATGCCAATCAACCCAACCAATGATAACATGAAGTACAATAAATAATTATAGAGACTGAGATATGATATGCAAATGATGGATGCAACTGAGTACATAACTGTAATTTAAGAAAATGACTCAACAATAAAAACGACCTCTGTGGGTCCCAACAGTAGCCACATACAACTTAATACAATCAATACAAGTTATAGGAATCAATTCCATACGATAAAGCTAGATTCTTTAACAAAAGTCAAATAGTCAAATAGAAACCTCCTTGGCATCACCTCCTTGGCATCACCGAGAAAACTCCAAATCTCAGTAGCTGAAGACGGTCTGTGCCAACTCTGAACCACCTCGATCTTCTTCGGATACACCTTACTCCCCTCACGGGACACTACATTCCCTAAGGACGCAACCGAACTGAGCCAAAACTCACACTTGGAGAACTTGGAATAAAGCTTCTCCTCCCTCAACGTATGTAGTACAATCCTCAGATGATGTGCATGCTCCTCCTGGCTACATGAGTACATCAGGATATCATCAATAAATACTATGACAAACGAATCAAGATATGGCTGGAATACACTGTTCATCAGATGCATGAATGCTGCTGGGGCATTGGTCAGCCCAAAAGACATCACAAGGAACTCATAATGACCATAGCGGGTCCTGAATACCGTCTTTAGAATATCCGAGTCCCGAATCTTCAACTGGTGATACCCAGACCTCAAATCAATCTTAGAGAACACTCTAGCTCCCTGAAGCTGGTCAAATAAGTCATCAATGCGCGGCAAAGGATACTTGTTCTTAATTGTAACTTTATTCAACTGCTTATAGTCAATGCACATCCGTATAGTACCATCCTTCTTCTTCACAAACAAAACTGGTGCACCCCACGGCGACATACTAGGCCTAATGAACCCCTTATCAAGAAACTCCTGAAGTTGCTCTTTCAATTCCTTCAAATCTGCTGGTGCCATATGATACGGAGGAATAGAAATGGGCTGAGTGCCCGGCACCAAATCAATTTCCATGTCGGGTGGCATGCCCGGTAGGTCTGTAGGAAACACATCCTGAAAGTCTCGCACTACCGGAACACAATCAATGGTAGGAGTATCAGCACCAACATCCCTCACAAAAGCCAAATATGACAACACCCCTTCCCAATCATCCGTTGGGCCTTCAGATATGAAATCACCCTACTGGGAACATAGTCCAGAGAACATCTCCACTCGATCCTAGGTAACCCCGGCATTTCCAACATCACGGTCTTAGCGTGACAATCTAGAATAGCATGACATGGGGACAACCAATCCATGCCTAGAATAACGTCGAAATCAACCATACAAAGCAATAAGAGATCAACTCTCATCTCCAATCCCCCAATGGTCACCACACACGACCGATACACACGGTCCACAACAATAGAATTACCCACCAACGTAGATACATGAATAGGTGAAACTAAGGACTCTCGGCGCATATCCAAATAACAAGCAAAATATGATGATACATATGAATAAGTGGAACTAGGGACAAATAATGTGGAAGCATCCCTATGGCATACTGAGATAATACCTGTGATTAGTATGTCTGAAGCGACCATCACTGAACCTCCTAATCCTCTCCCTCTCAATGGGAACCAACCAGATCGCATGACGAGCCAATTCTAAAAATATCTTCTCATACTGGGTCACGGACATACCCTCCTAGCATAGCTGCTCAAGCTGCCTACGCAACTCCTCCCTGCGGGTCTATGGTATAAACTTTTCCGAGAAGAGAACGGAGAACTCGTTCCATGTAAGTGGTACAATGCCGACTAGCCTGCTCAACTCATTAGCCACCCACCATCTGAAGGTTGCCACTAACAGCTGAAAAGTAGTAAATGAGACAACTAGTCTCCAGAATACCTGCCGCACGAAGAATTCGCTAGCACCTATCTAAGAAGTCCTGAGCATCCTCAAACTCGGTCCCACTGAATGATGGAGGCATGAGCCACTCAGACCTCTCTAGCCTCTTCTGCTCCTTGTCACTCATAGGGGGGCTACCTAGGCACAAGCAGCAGCAATCGGCTAGGCTGGTAGTACCCCAGGTGTTTGAAGTCCCTGAACCACCTACTCTAGAGTACGGGCGGCAGGAGTCTGAGCACCTCCCCCGGCCTTATAAGTGGCTGGTGCGGCCTGGACTGAAACTGCCTGAGCAAGGCTAGTGCACACGGTCAATATCTGGGCCAAAGCCTCTTGAAGGCCTGGAATCATAATGGGCACAGCTGGTGCCTGAGCTAGTCCTACCGGCTCAACCACATCCGAGATTTGCTCCTGTGCTGGAGCAACTGGTGGATCTACAGGTGTTGCTCTAGCTGCAGTATGAGCTGTACATCAGCCTCTACTATGGCCTTGGCCTCTCTCGGCCCTAGCTAGTGGTACTGGTGGTCATCCCCCCTGATCCGGTAGCACGTGTCCTCACCATCTGTGAGAGAATAGAATAATAAAAGTTTAGTTTTCGGAATCAACGAATCTGCACGATAAGAATACAAGAAAGTGAAGTTTTCCTAATGGTTCGATGGCCTCTTGAAGATAAATACAGACGTCTCCGTACTGATCCGTAAGACTGCACTAAATCTTCTCATGACTCGTGAGACCTATATAACCTAGGCTCTGATACCAACTTGTCACAACCCAAAACTCGACATATCGTGATGGCGCCTACCACAGAACTAGGCAAGCCAACAATCACAAATAACTACGCATTTTGAATCAAAAACATGATGAAATAAGTTTAACAGTGACAAATTCTCATAAATAACTGATAAGAAATACCGCAACTCAATACAAATATCGCCCAAATTTGTGTGTCAGTGAGTACATGAGCTACTAAAATGTCAACACAATCAAACCGATAATACAATTGTATAGAAAGATAGAACAATGCTAAATAAACTGAAAGGAAGGAAACTCGAGGTCTGCGGACGCCAAAGCAGCTACCTCAAAAGTCTCCAAGCAGAAATCTAGCAACCACCGTGCCCAGAAGTACCTGGATCTGCACACGAAGTGCAGAGTGTAGTATGAGTACAACCGACACAATGTACTCAATAAGTAACAGGACTAACCTTGGGCTAAAAGCAGTGACGAGCTCAGATAGGTACCGTCCAATTCCAGATTATAAAAGTACAAAGATGACAGGAAAGATGACAGTAATAACTCAGAGAAATCTCATAATCAGTGTGTACAGAATACAAAAATATAGACATGCTTTCAAGTTTAACAATTTAAGTTCAATACGGATAAAATATGTCAAGTGTGACTAATATGAGGAATGTTACATCTCTATATCTACATGTCAAATTTGCATGTCACATGTCATGCATCACAATGATAACCTCTCATACCCACACTCTCAGAGTACTCAATCTGTCTATCACAACTCTCACTCATTACACTCAATCGCTCAGCATTTTACGGTACCTGCGCTCACTGCTGGTATGTCAGACTCCGAAGGGGTGGATCCTTCCAAAGCGCTAATAAAACCTATTGCGGCGCACAGCCCGATCCCATCATGAATTAATAATATCAACTGCGGTGTGCAGCCCAATCCCATCATGAATCAATAAAACTTGTTGCGGCGTGCAGCCCAATCCCATCAACATCACTCATACTCCAGCCCTTAAGCCCCAATCTGTCATAAATCTCTCCAGTCTTTCGGGCTCACAAATCTCATGCCAATCAGCCCAAACAATGATAACATGATGTACAATAAATGATAACAGAGACTGAGATATGATTTGCAAATGATGGATGCGACCGAGTACATAACTGGAATTTAAGCAAATGACTCAACAACAAAAACGACATGTGTGGGTCCCAACAGTACCATCATATAGCCTAAACATGATTTCTAACATGAATTACATCTCAATTTCTCTAACACAAGGAGAGTACAAGAAAAATAACGAGATTAGATAACTACACAGTTCTACGAAATCAACCGAGTCACAATTACTACGGTGCACGCCCACACACCCGTCACTTAGCATGTGCGTCACCTCAACACCAACCACATAACACGTAGTTCCGCGATTCATACCCTAAGAACCAAGTTTGGAAATGTTACTTACCTCAAACCATGTAAATCCCTACTCCAACAAGCCCTTACCTCGCGAATCGGCCTCCGAACGACTCGAATCTAGCCACAAACAACTTAATACAATCAATACAATCTATATGAATCAATTCCATACGATAAAATTAGATTATTTAACAATAGTCAAAAGGTTAACCCAAAAAGTCAACTCCGGGCCCACATCTCGGAATCTGACAAAATTAATAAAATTCGAACACTCATTCAACAACGAGTCCAACTATACCAAAATTACTCAATTCCGATCTAACTCGACCATCAAATCCTCAAATTATAGTTTATGAAGTTTCTACAATATTTCCCAATTTTCCCAACCCAAAACACTAATTAAATAGTAAAAACAAATGATAGATTTATGTATATTAACTAAACCCGAGTTAAAATCACTTACCCCAATCAATTCCTTGAAAATCCCTTCAAGAATCACCTCAATCCGGGCTCCCAAAGTCCAATTGTGAAATAATACTCTAACCCTTATTTTTTAAATTTTATAATCTGCCCAGTTGTTCCTCTTCGCGATCGTGGAAAGTCCTACACGATCGTGATGAACAAAAAGTTGCTGCCCTCAAAATCACCTACACGAACGCGGAAAACCATCCATGAATGTGATACACAGAATCTCAACCCTACGCGATCGCGGACTCCCTCTCGCGATCGCGAAGAACACTCGCGTGGGCTTCCCAAGCTTCCCCCTTCCTTCTTCTCGGATGCGACCCAACACCGGCGTTCGCGATGCATGAACAACCAAAGCTCCGCTATCGTAGACCTGTTCCCGTGACCATATAGACCAACTCCGCCAGTCACCCCAAATAATCCTTCGCGATCGCGAACCTTCCCACACTATCGCGAATCAAGAAACCATACCTAAAACATTAGCAATAACACAAGTCTAAAATTCACTCTGATTCCAATCTGAATCACACCCGAGGCCCCCGGGACCCCATCCAAACATACCAACAAATCCTAAAATATGATACAAACTTAGTCGAGGCCTCCAATAACATCAAACAACAACAAAAACACGAATCGCACCCTAATTCAAGTCTAATGAAACTAATGAATTTTCTACTTCTACAATCGATGCCGAAAACCTATCCAACTCCGATTGACCTCAAATTTTACACACAACTCATAAATGACACAACAGACCTATTCCAACTTCCAGAACCAAAATACGAGCCCGGTAACCACAAAATCAACTCCGGGCCCACATCTCAACTTTCCAAACTTTTACTTTTTTAACTTTCGCCAATTCAAACCAAAATCATCTACGGGCCTCCAAATCAATATCCAGACACAATCCTAAGACCAAAATCACCATTCAGAGCTATCGAAATCGTAAAAACTCCATTCCGGGGTCATTTACACACAAGTTAATATCCGGTCAACTCTTTCAACTTAGGCTTCTAGTCTTGGGACTAACTATCCCAATTCATTCCGAAACATCCCCAGAACCATATCAATTGGGAAAGTCACATATCAACAAATGAGCATAGAATAAGCAATAAACGGGGGAACGTAGCTACAATACTCAAAACGACTGGCCGGGTCATTACAAAATAAATCCTGAATCATCCGAAAATTGAACCCGGCCACACACGCTAATCATGATACACAATACGAAGATGCTCGAGACCTTAAGCCACCGAACGGGACACACATTCTCAAAATGACCGGTTGGGTCATTACATTAATCTTGTCAAATCCAAGT